CAGCTCCGGCAAAATCCGGTGTGTGTTTATGACACAGAGAGTGAGAGAGTAACCAGATGACTTGAATGTAAACATTTCTGGTAGCACTTCATAATACAGCCTGCAACCTACATTTAACAACGGGTTTTTTTTTCTAGTACCTAAACGTACTCATCAGTCTGCACAGTAGAACAAGGGACTAACAACTTTTAGTTTTACAGGAAAGAGGAAACAAACAATTTTAATAACCTTTAAAGTGACCAGACAATGAGATAATGGTGATACTTAAGTATTTTTAGGTGCTGAAAATGACAGCCTAAATTCAGAAAACATACATTACAAATGTCACTGCATTTCTCTGTATGAAGAAAACATCCAGGAGCCTGGCAGCTCGTAGCCAGAAGAAACTGGAACAAATGGAGCTGATGTTGCTCACACACTTGATTGCTTACAGACTGGAGCTGCACAGCCCCAGTGGCAAGGTATACGAGCACACACATTCTACTGTAGTTCACTTAAGTCCTAAACAACAGACTAAGATTACACAATGGCCTGTTTTTGTCTTATCACAGAGTCACACTCTCCTCTTCTCCTCTCTCTATGAACTAGAAGAATGGAGGCAGGCCATACACAAACTCACCACAGCTAGTGAGTACACAGCTTTTGACCACTCTGGAGTGTAATTACGGCTACTCTGCTACTCTTTTCAAGCACTGTTAAGTCTTTGTGGCCAGCTGTATGTCATGAAAGTTTAATTCAAGTGATTGAAGTCAATCTCGCCCTGGAGCATATTTTAATTTAGTTTAGTAGCTAAATAATGAACTAAACTTAATTAATTATTTAGCTTACTTTATTAACATGTGTAATTACTTATTAAAATACCATCTTCTGTTGTGCTGCTAGCAGGCTGTGTGTAAGAGTTGAGTCGACTTAGGAGAGAAGCGAACGTGAAATGTCTCGTGGACAGCATGCGGTTTCTTTTTATAAAATGCCTACTTGTTATGTTTAAGGAAGTTGAGGGTCTTAGAAAATGTTCTGTAGGTCATGTGAGGCAGTGTTGCATCATTTATATGAGCAAAAAAAAGAAAAGAGAAAAGAGGCCTGCATTTAATATTTTCATCGTGTCTCTAGTAAAGTGCATACTTGTTTCTGGCCACTATACGCTGGTTATAATACTAGCTAGCTTGGTTGCTATGCATGGGTACATCGCAGAGCCAGATAACAGCTAATTACCGTTACTACACACTCACTGGTGACTTCATTAAGTACAGCTGTTAAAATCTGTGTTTACTCGTATCTCATATCGGATATCTCATCAGAACACCACATGACATTAACTTGCATTTAAGTTTGTAGCCATTGGTCAAGGTCGCCTGCTGAATTTCAAAGTGATCATCAGAATGAGGAAGAAATGTGACATCAAATGTGATGCGGTTGTTTGTGTCAGACGGGCTGCTCTGAGTATTTCAAAAACTGCTGATCTGCTTGGATTTTCCCACAAAACCATCTATAGGGTTTATAGAGAATGGCACGAAAAAGAGAAAATATCCAGTAAGTGGAAGTCCCCTAGTTGATTTCAGAAGTCAGAGGAGAATGGCTGAAGTGCTTTGATCCAGCAAGAATGCAACAGTAACTCAAATAACCACTTGTCAAAACCAGAGTGTGCAGAAGAGCATCTCTAAATGCACAACATGCTTGGACATTATAGCAGCAGAAGACCACACCAGGTGCCGCTCCTTTCAGCTAAAGGAAACTGAATCTCATATGCTCACCAAGATTGGATAATAAAATGCTGCCTGGTTTGATGAATCAGATGTTCGCATCAGAATTGGGCAAGAACAACATGAATGCATGGCTAAATTAACCATTCAAGCTGGTAGTGGTAGCATTTTCTTGGTGCACTATGGGTCCCTTAGTACGAATTAACATCACTTAAATCCCATAGCTATGTTCTTTTAAAATGGGAGTAGTTAGGAGCTGACTCACTTTTGGAGCC